AAAAAAATGATATAAATAAATTATTAATTAATGAAGATAATTAATTTAATTTATGATTAATAAAATTAATTAGTTTTAATCAAAATAAATTAATCATATTTATGATCTTAATTTAAAATAATTATGTTACTTAATTATCTTGATCAAAGATTAATGAATGTTATTAATTAATTTTAATTAATATTAGATTAATCATTCAATTAAGTTAATTGTTATAGTTAATTAATTTAAATCTTTAATTTCCTTTAATCTTGGTCAAAGTCAAAATTATCCTCCTTTTATTTCAATTCCACCCAAAACTTTTCGTGATCAAGTAATTTGGCTCAAAGATTTCAAATCTCTCCAAATCAATCCTTCATGTTTTGAATTTAATCAAATCAATCCCTTAACTTTTATTTATGTTTATTGTGTATGCATGTTCTTGGTTTTGTTCATTTTAGTCTAAAAGTTTTAAAATGTTATAATTTGGTCCATCTATTTTCAAGTTTATTTATTAAGACTCAAATATAAAGATAATAAAAAAGTTGAATTAAAAAAAAACCCAAAGTTAAAGTATGCAACCGTGTTTAAACGAAGGATTGTGAGCTGCACATATGCCCTTTTTCACTCCTAACTAAACCCCCGAACCATGATCTCTGCGCAGACTTATTTTAGGTGATTTGTCCCACTTTATAATTTAGATGAGTGGCGACTCCTTTTATTTTATATTTTTTTCACACTTAATTTTCCATTATTTTTATTTTCCTTTTCTCTTTTCATTATTTTGAAATTTTAAGTGGTCGTCAACATTATCTACCTAGTGGCATGGTAGCATGTTAGCATGAATTAGCATTGTCAAACCAGTCTCGACTATATGCTAGTGTTTTCTCTCTACGATTCCATTTTGCTCTGGTGTGTCAGGACAATACATTTGTTGTTTGATGCCACACTCAGCTAGGTAATTGGTAAATACCTTGCTGGAAAATTCACCACCACCATCACTTTGAAATATCTATATATTTTTGTTAAACTGAATTGCTACCATTTTCTGGAATTTTTGAAACAGATCAAAGAAATCAAATTTCTTATGAAGAGGATAAAACCATGTATATCTACTTTGGTCATCTATAAAAATAACATAGTAAATAAACTATTTTGTAGATTGAGTTGGAGAGGGTCCCCATAAGTCACAATGAACTTTTTGAAATAAAGATGTAGCTCTTTCATTGCTCATATTAAAAGGAAGCTAACAGCTCTTCCCCATTTGGCATCCAATGCACAAAGATGGGTTTTTATTCCATTTCGAGACTACAATATTATTTTTGAAAGCTAAAGTTTTTAAGACATTAGAATTTGGGTGTCCTAATCTCTGGTGCCAAATAGAGTTTGTGGCTTTATTTGAAATGGCTACAAGAGCAAACTTCTCTCCTTCTTCAAGAGCATACAGTTGTCCCTTCCTAATTCCTTTTGCTAACACCATCTGTGTTACGTGGTCCTTAATCACAAAACCATCAAATGAGAATTCAAATATGCAAGGATTATCATCAATAAACTCACTAACTGAAAATAAGATTCTTTTTAAGATTAGGAACAACAAGAACATTATTCAATTTTAAAGGGCCAATAGATGCTGTACCAATATGTGATATATGTAATGGGGTGCCATCACCAGTGAAAACCTTTTGGTTTCCATGATAAGGTCTCTTGAAATGAAGTTTACATGAATCTGTAGTCATATGATCAATAGCACCCATGTTAATGTAGGTATTTTGGTCTTTGTCATCCATCATTGTGAGTGCTACAAGTGCTTGTGGTAGCTCCTCACTTTAATATGCATGATCAAACCTATACCAACACTATAATGTTGTATGACCTGTAATTCCACATATTTGATAGGGATTCTCATCTTTTTGTTTATTTTTCGATTGCAAACTTTGAGGCATGGTTTGCTAAGGCATGGTTTGCTGTGGTGATGGGTTGTTGTTCATCAAGTTGTTTCTGTTATGATGGTTGGACCAACTATGATTGTAATTTCCAACTTGGACAAATCCTCTTCCATGAGAATTAAAGTGTCTGCTATTGTATCCTCTGTCTCAATTGCTTCAGCCCCTTTGTGCCAAAAAAACTTGAGAGTATGCTGGTTCCTTGTCTTTACTTTCTTGTTCTGTTGCTTGTAAGTCCCTTTCATTATTTTGGAATCCTGTAATGTACTGGTTGAAGGTGGGATATGGTGCCTTTGATAAAACTACAAGGTTGTAGGGTTGATATCTGGTTCCAACAACCCTAGATAATTGAAACACCTTGTCTAAGTCATCAAGAGGCTTGTGGATTACAGCAAGCCTATCACATATCCCTTTGAATTTCCTAATGAAGCTTTCAATTGGTTCATTGTCTCCCCTTTTTACTACTAACTACCCTTTGAGATGCAGCTTGTGCTCTTTGGTTGAAGCTAGATAGTGCTCTTCAAGACATTTCCAGATTTGAGATGTTGTATCACATCCAACCACCAAACTCAATGCCTCCTCATTCATTGTCCCAAGTAACCAACTAGTCAGTAATCCATCATTATTTAGCCATATATCAAAGTCTGGATTTGGCTCTTCCTTACTCTTCTTTGTGATGTATTTTTTTGCTGCTCCTCCTTCAAGGTGATGCATCAATTGGGCACTCCTAATTAATGGAAGCACCTATGATTTCCAGAGCAGAAAATTAAAGCTAGACAGCTTCACCGAGACCAAGCTTGCCATTTGATGGAAACTTTGAATGGCAAGCACGCTCTTGTTTTTAACCATGAATATAATCGAATGGATTTGATGAGAAACTCTATTTTGACTATTTCAAAAGAATGATTTTTGTTCAAGAATAAAGAAAAAACAAAGTATTCAAATGCAAGTAGTAACCTACTCTGATACCATCAAGAAAATTAATGCAAGGGAAGGATGTCTAAATACAATACTAAATTGTATTTCTATTAAGATGTATTCTGTACATTAAGTAGCTGTTATATACAATCATAAGAGCAAATCTAGATCCTATAATTATGCATACAAATAAGGAATATAAATATTATTTTCCTAATACTGCAGAGACGTTGCCTTTCAACCGTTGTATTGGTCTTCCCTTAATTTGTGCTCATGAGATTGATTAACTACTTTCTTTATTCCTTGATTAGCTCTGTTAGCTAAGTCTCCTGTCAACTATTTCCTTTCACTTGGTTCATGCCTTGATCCTGCCTTTCTGCCTTCATACACACCACTATAGATTTCAATTCTAGCCCAAATAACTAATGATGCATCCACTCTTCAGGTGTTGATGTAATAGCAACATTTATAATTTATGTTGCATATCAAAAGTTAGAGGATGGGGAATGCTTCTTTCTTATTCAATCCCATTTGCAAGATAATTTTCCTCTTTAGTTTTAGAGTTGATTAAGTTATACAACAGGATATAATCTTTTTGGACACTCATTTCTCTTTACCTTTTCAAACTTTGATGTGGGGTTGTTTGAAAATTGGATAGATGTGAAGAGATAGTGTCTTAGTGGAGGAAACCTAGGGCTCTCAATTCAAGCAGATAGGAGTCCAAGTCTTGACATACAAGGAGCCTCCAAGCTGGAATTGGCCACAGACAAATTTATTTAGGCAAATGTGATAGACAGCAGAGGGTTTGGTGTGGTGTACATAGGTGTCTTGGTTGATGGGATTGTGGCAACAATTAACAAGTTAATTGCATAGATATAGAAAGTAAGGGGAGCGTGCATTTAGGATAGAGGTTTGTAGCAGTAACTTCATTAACCAACACAGACTAAAGGACGTCCCCTTTGGGACATTCATTATCTTAGTTTACTATGCAGAGATTTAATTGTTTTGTCTATTTTGATGCTGATTTTCATAGTTTGCAGGTGGACCTGCTAAACTCTTGGCACTCTCTCCTTAGTGCAGCTAATTGGCTACTACGCCAACCAGCACCTTAGGCTATTGATATTTGAATTCATTTCTAATGGTACCCTCTAGAAACATCTCCTTGACCCCAAGAACCAATATTAG